CCAGCCAGTGAGCTGCGCGACGTCGCCGCGACCGCGCACGCTGCTCATGAGGAAGAACCCCTCTGTGGTTCGAAACTAGTAGAGTTGTTCTCAGTATATTTACGTGAGTAACCCGCGTTTTTACTTAATTTATATTGTGAGTACCTATGTTTGATTTCTTTTCATTCCTTTCTTTTTAAAAACATTGCCTTACACTAGGATCTCCTGTGTGTGCGTTTACAAACATACAAGTTCACATACCCATGACACCCAGACCCGAAATAATAATTTGTAGATCACACAAAGAGTTGTTCCATATGTGAATAGAAACAGCTACACAGTGCGGGGTAGCTGGTAGTCCATCCACCGCATCAACCGTGCAGTACTTAGTTATCCAGCTTATAACCTATGTCCTATCTTTAGTTAAACGTTGTATCTCTTTGGTTTAGCGTACTGACCTCTGAAACTACTGGTTACAATTAAAATTATGTTTGTGTTGAATAGTTTATTTATTGAGGAAGGGCTCATGAAACATCGTCCCATGAGTCGAGTAGCTAGTTCCTAATAGATACTTCAACAAAAGAAGAATCATGATCCTTATATATATATAAATCCTATTATAAATGGGAAAGTGAGTTTGTTTGTTTGTTCCGCTTTCACGCCGTATCTTCTGAACCGATTGCTTTGAATTTTTGCAGGCGTAAAGTTAGAAGTCCGGAATAAATAATAGGGTACTTTTTACCCCGGAAAATTTTGATATTCCCGAGGGAAAACAAAAGAATTGGTATAGCTGGCGCTGTGTGCATTGGTATATGTCACATAGGCTACTTTTGTCATTTTGTGACGCAAGCGAACCCGCGGGTAAAAGCAAGTATTTCAATATTTTAAAGCAAAGGGAATTTTGTTTGACTATACAGAGTGTAAACGGAATGCTCCCGATAAACGCAGACATATGATGGTAAAATACAAGTTTTTTTTTCATAAAAGTACGGAATTAAATGTTTTTTTATGTAATAATAGGTAGTTGTAATCAACTGTTCACTGTGTTTAATTCGGAGCAAATTTAAGATTCGGAGCCGCCGAGAACTTAACGGGTTACCGGGGCTCCGGCTCGAAGTGCAGGAGTAGGAACGGGGTGGTTTTTAATCAGTAAGAGTCTGACACTTCCTCCCGCCTCAATTAGGCAGGAAAGCGGGCTCCCTCCTCAACGAATTTTGAACGTCTCGAATTTCGTCCAATAGGAAGTTAGCTAGTCACACCATTGGAAGTTCGATATCTGCAGCGATTGGACAGAAAACTTCTTGCTACATTTGCAAGTGAAACAAGTGAATTTATTTCTGCAAATAGGCTACAAGGCAGCACTTTTACACGTCCATTTTATCAAGCGAACGATGAGGCCGACATTTCCTAACTGACTACTCTGAGAAGAAATGCCGAAACAAACTCAGAGGTCTGTCTCTTTTAAAGTCCAGACAAATTTGAGGAAAGAACCAAAACAGTTTGAGCGGACCCGCTCTGAAGGCAGTACGCATGTGTCGGTTTATAATCAGCTCAATTATCAGGTGAGGCTGACTGATTCGACGAACAACACCAACCTAAAGAACATTTGCGTGGGTCGCACAAATACTCAAACTGTCAGAATATGGGTAATTAGAAAAGAAATGGCGAGGCAAAATCTCGCACGGTCCTAGCACTAACAATTGTAAAATAAAAAGTAAATGTCAAGGTAGAAAAAAAATTAAATAAAATGTTCAAATGAAAAACAACATTAAAGTAATAATGTCAAATAGTATATAAAAGGAAATGTAACTATATGTTACTAACGTCAACATGACCTGTGTGGACATTACAGCAGTTTATTCCCGGTAGTCTTTTATTTTATAAAGTTTATCTTTAACGCCATTTTTAAATTTATTTAGACTTAAATTTTGGATATGGCTGGAAATTTCATTGCAAAAGCGTATACTCTGACATCTAAACGAACCACTTATTTTCTTAAGTCTAGTAGTGGGAACAACATATTTGTCTTTATTTCTTGTGTTGATATTATGTATATCACTATGCATTTTAAATGAACTTTAATTTTATGAGCATATACTACATTTTCATAAATAATATTGAGAGGCAACCGTCATTACATTAATTTCTTTAAATAGTTCGCTGAGAGAGTACCTTGGACTAAGATTATAAATTGATCGAATGGCCCTCTTCTGCAGAACAAAGATAGACTGAATGTCAGCAGCATTCCCCCATAGGAGAATACCATATGACATGACACTATGAAAATAACTAAAGTACCTCTATACTAATCGCGCTGTATCTACATCGATTAAATTTCTAATTTTTTTAACGGCATATGCTGCAGAACTGAGCCTTTTCGATAACTTTTTTTTTTTAAGGGGGGAAAATCATCGAATGACTCCTCCCGCCTGGGTGAGGCGGGAGGGAGTATCAGACTCTTACTGACTAAAAACCACCCCGTTCCTTCTCCTGCACGTCGAGCCGGAGCCCCGGTTACCCGTTAGCTTCTCCGCGACTTTTCGATAACTTATCTATATGTGGAGCCCACGGGAGCTTAGCGTCTAGGGTTATACCTAAAAAGACATTAGAATCCACAGGGCTCAACTCCTCACCGTTAATTAGCACGCTGGTTTTGCATCATCTATTACTAAAAACGTCTTAGCGTCGAGTAGTCTAGTCGTCGAGCTTAGCGTCTGTATAGACCGCCACCTCCCGCCTCACCCAGGCGGGCGGAGTCCCTCGATGATTTTCCCCCCTTAAAAAATCTACTGCTCAAGGTTGATGTTTCATGAATAATACGAGAACAAAAACGATTAAAATTAAAAAAAACAATTTCGTTTTGTCAGCGTTTCGGGAGCGTTTTGTTTAAACGCTGTAATTTAAAGAAAGTAATTAAAATTTCGTTTTGTGTTTTATTGTGTGTATATGTTATAAATGTGACAATAATTGTTTCAGGTGTGTATTCTCTTGTTTCTGGCGGTCTTGGAGGGATTCCAATGTGAGTATATCGCACCTTGTTTTATTTCCACAAAGAGAGTATGTGACTCACAAAAAAATAATATACAGTGAAACCTGGTTAAGTGAGACGTCAAGGGACCTGCAATGTCGTTTCACTTATAGAGGTGTTCCACTTACCCAGTGTCTCAGATATACATAGGTATATACCTGTATATCTCATTTACAGAGGGTTCCGTTAATAGAGGTGGACTGGGAATTACGTAGTAAATTTGTGGGTAGAATAAGAATGAGTAAACAATGTTATCTCAGTTACAGAGGATTATGCATATAAAATTTACTCGCTGTCTCAGTTATAGAGGTAACTATGATGATAAATCGAAAGAACAAATCCCAGATATAGAGGTTTACATCATCCCACTAACAGAGGTAATTCAGTGCCAAAGTGTTGGGACCTCAGCATGAGTTCCAGTTATGGAGGTTTCTCACTTATCCAGGTCCCACTTAACCAAGTTTCACTGTACATTACATCTTTAAACCCTTCAAATATAATACAGAAGTTTCATGATCTTAGCTTAAGGAATATAGTTACCATACTAATGAATGATTGTAGTACCTAACAGTAACTTACATACTTTGTAATTTAATTCTATAAATATTGGCATACGCTATTGCATTAGGTATTAGTTCCAGTAATGACACTAATATGTACATAGTTAATAAATAAATAAATGATGTGTGTATGGGTGGGTGTGTGTGTGTGTGTGTAGTTAGTTTGCATGACTATATTTGCTTTTATGTAATGATGTAAAAGCTTTATCATGAGATTAGGCATATCTAGGTATTGAATTTGATTAATAGGGAACATCCCAATTAAATATTTTTGTTGCATAAGATGTGGACTACTGAACGTAGTTTATGCGTCACCAATAGGAGCCAAGTAGCGGGTAAAACCGCGTTGAACTAGCTAATAGGACTGCACGGTTGGCGCGGTGGCTGGGCAAGTGGCAGCCGCGCAACGTGTCGCGGGTTCGATTCCCGCACGGAACAACTCTTTGTGTGATCCACAGATTGTTGTTCCGGGTCTGGGTGTAATGTGTATGTGAACTTGTATGTTTGTAAACGCACCCACAACACAGGAGAAAATCTTAGTGTGGGGAAAAGATTCTTACAAAAAAAATCTTATATCTTATACTCTGTATAATATATAGAGTGGAAGAGTTTATTTTTTTGTTTGTTTGTTTGAACGCGCTAATCTCCGTAACCACAAATGTGATTTGAATAATTCTTTTTGTGTTAGATAGTACATTTATCGAGGATGGCTATAGGCTATAAAACATCACGCTACGACCAATAGGAGCTGAGCAGAGCGTGTGAAACCGCACAGAAGTAGCTAGTAGATTATAATCAAAATAACACATGGGCTATTATTCTGCCAATGGCAAAAGCTGATATTTATCCTCCTTCATTCATGACGTTTACCTCAGTGTTGAGGATCGTGACCCTTAAGGACATCGCACACCAAAAACACGGCTCTGGCATAGTCTTTTCTGTTTGGAAACAATACAAATATGATTTAAAGTTCATTATTTAAATGACAATTGTTGGGTTGGAGGAGGTGTGCAAATACTTTAATTCATCATTCGCCTTCCCACGTAGGATCTTTTCTTTTCATTTCATTCTCTGGCAGTTTGAAGATGGTATTAATCATACATTTTCTTTATTACAGGTTCACCAACATTTTGCTTTTTTTGGCCTTGTTATGAATCAAATCAAAATTCCAATTCACATGCAACAACTTATCAAAATACATTCACGAATACTGGTAACAACAACCGCATGATAGTTGGCAAAGGAGGTGCCAACCTTTTTGGACAACTACTTTTCTTATATTAATACTACCTGTTGCCCGCGTAGAATACACATTTTAGAATAAGTATTTCTTTGTTTCAATTATCCAAAATAAAAGTAGCCTATGTTAATCCTTAGTACGTCGCCTACAAGGCGCTCCACAAGTCCGAGGCCATGTGTTTTCATGGCCGCAGGAACGCGCCACTTTCGGGTGAGTCCCAAATAACGGCAGGAGGGGTTACCATCGGCGCCGAGACGCCGATGAAGTACCTAGGACTCGTCCTCGACAGTCGGTGGAACTTTGTGGAGCACTTTCGACGTTTGGCTCCTAAGTTGGAAGGGACGGGGTCAGCGTTTAAACGCCTCCTACCGAATCTCAGAGGGCCAAACGCCTCCTGCCAGAGGTTTTATGTGGGGTCGTGCGGTCCATGGCCCTCTACGGAGCCCCTGTGTGAGCGCCGAATTTGATGCGGCAGCCCACTCGGGCGCTGCTCACATCTCAGAGGGTCATGATGATCCGATTGATATTGCACGATCTACGGAGAGGTGGCGAACCTCCTTGCCGGGTTACCACGTGGTATTTGGGGGTGAAGGTGCTCGCGCGCGTGTTTTGTTTGCGCGTGAAGGCACGTCGCCGGGGCGAAACTCCGCTGCCGCGCCAGATTAGTGCGTGGCGGGGTGAGCTCCGGTACGATCTCATGGCGGAATGGCAGCAAGATTTGTCTACCTGTACCAACCTGATTCTTTGTCTGGTGATACCAGATTAGAATTACACACATTTAATATAAGACATTTAATATCATAACCTCTTCTCTTCTAGAGTGTTCCCGTTTGAGCATCTAGAACATCTATTTATCTTTGATCACCATCGATTTTAAACCGTATATTTATATATGACGATCATAAATAGGCACTCAAACAGGAATACTCCTGACTGAGTCACATCACTGCGACTTCAATGGCGGCTACCGCTTTTCAGCTCAATAGATGGCGCAAACGTAGCAAGCTAATTTTTTGTCCAATCACAGCAGCTGTCAAATAATAAACGTCCAATGGACGTTCGTAACACTAGATAATTTTATATTGAATAAAAAACGACAGCTTCTAGCTTTGTAGCTATCGAAATTCTCAACACTAAGATGAAGTATGGAATTCTACATTACGTACAAGGGACTTATAATTATTCCTTCTTCGGAACGTGCTGGTTACATTACGATGTTATTAGGTAAATAAAAAAGTTCTGTATACTTCTTCTTATAATATTAATTTATTGACTTATAATAATAATAACTTGTATTATACAGTTCGGTGTATTCTTTTCAAATTTACTAGCATTACATTATAATAATAAAAATCCAAAATAATTAGGATACTGACGCACGATCATGGTATTACCGTTTCCATAGTTAATGTACTGATTTTGTACAATGTAAATATTTTGTCGTGGAGGATAACCAAATAACCACTCCAAGCATGGTGCACCTGAAATAAATTCAAAGAATATTATAGGCTTTAAGTCATATTACATGTATATAGATATATAAAGGTTTTTTATTACATAACATCATAACAGAACATCACGCCTTTATCCCCGAAGGAGTTGGCAGAGGTGCACTGTACAATGTAACACCCAGTTTTCACTATTTATATTATGAGTCCCATGTAATAGTGGGTGAGTCTATTGCCATATACTGGGCACAATTTCAGACTCCGTGCTACCACCGAGAATTTTTAAAACCCAGTAGTGCTTTGGCCGACCCGGGAATTATATTATTTTATTATTACTGATGGCCTTATGTTAAAACACTGGACGAAGACGCAAGTGATGCTTACAAACCGTGCCCAGAAAGTCGTGTGTATTGTTATTGTAATATTATATTATTTATAACAAATTATTTTATGATGTTTTATGTATTAACCTAGTTTATAAGTTGTGTTTGTCTTTACTAACCATAATAATTATATATTGTATTATCTGAATAAATAAATAGATTGATTGATTGATTGATTGATTATTATATATTAGTGAGAGTAATGACTTACATCTCGCCGGTTCTGGTTTGAATATCCCTATAGGCCCTCTGTAAGTATGATATTTATATCGTTCCTATTTTCAAATGTCCTCTGATCGTCGGAGTTCCTTCAAAGTTTTCAAAAACCTATTAATTACGCTTCACACTTTTTTAAATAAAATGATGAAATAAAATAAGTGCTGCGATTGAGGGAACTTGAAGTATTTGGTCCAACAAAGAGTGCACATTCTACATAAAATGTAATGTAATGGTCAATATACTCACATTGGAATCCCTCCAAGATCACCAACAACAAGAAGACACACACCTGAAACAATTATTGTAATCTTAGAAACACACACGTACACATGTAGCATACATTAATTGGGTACTTGCCTTCATCAAAAATAAATTATGTCGACTGTTCAATACAATAAAATATTAAAAAATAATCACACTTTCATTAATTGATTTTACGACCAACTTAATTTTAGAATTTTTTTAGCAAATTTTAAAAAAATAAGTATGCTGTTTGACGCTACAAAAACGTGACCTCACAATACACAATCTCGTACAAAATTCGTAGAAAACTGTCGTTTTTGACAGTTTGAAAAAAGTATTGACTGAATTTGACTAGTTGGCAAGTAGGTACCCAATTATTTTGTTTTCGGCCTTCTCACATAACTGTTTGACGAGGAACTCGACCAGTTTCCAGCCATGCTAGAGGCTCATATTCATGAGCAGCATTCCGCGACACACGACGCGGCGACTGTCGCGCTGCTATGTCAAACAGTTACGTGAGTTAGCCGAAAACTCCATAATGTCAAAAGTCGATCCTCATCCAAAGATTTTGGGTTATTAATTTAAGGTGTAAGTCGTATACTGTCATCATATCAATAAACATCAAGTTTTAAATATAACCAGTACTCACAATGAACTTCATGGCTGCAGCACTCACACACTGCAATATTGAAAATGGCGTCACTGCTCGAGCTTGGCGTGAACTGACGAGATATAGAGATCACAGTAACATTTATACAGACGCGATTTATCTTCTTATATGTTATCACAAAGTACTAGTATGAGTTCCCTGATGACGAATATCAACAATTAAGATGTTTAACTTACTATAATAACAAAAATATCGACTAATCTTTTTTTATTTTAGCTGCTACACCGCCTAAAATAGTCGCTTAGCTGATAATACTATACTCCGTCTGTTTAGGTAGTTAACTATTTGTAAACAAATCATAAAAAGGATCGGACCTGGCTGCCTTGAACGATTGGTCAACAAGTTTTGGTATAGCAGTGAATTCCAGTAAATGCCAGGCAATAATTTTAGGAAGTTCCCGTATCTTTGGTAGAATCGACAGCGCAACAGTGCCGCCGCTTCTATATGACGGTGCGATTATCTCGCTCAGCAGTGACGTGAAGGATCTGGGACTGCACATCGACAATAATTTGACGTGGCGTGTTCAGATCGCTGGTGTTTGTAAACGGGTGACGGGCACGCTTCGGTCTTTGTATCGCCTTAAAAATTTTCTTCCGTCCTCCACCAAGATAATGCTTGTCCGTTCCTTGGTCTTTCCTATCATTGACTATGCTGATGTTTGCTACTACGACCTGAATGCAGATCTCATCAATAAACTGGACCGCCTTCTGAATAACTGTATTCGATTCATCTTCAACCTGCGTAAATACGACCATGTTTCTGCATACCGATTGCAACTAAAGTGGTTGCCCATACGTCAACGCAGGGAACAACGGGCACTAACCACTTTATACTCCCTGCTTAATTCCCCCACTTCTCCAAGTTATTTAGCCTCCTACTTTCAATATGTGAGCACCAACCACAATAAGTATCTCCGTTCCACAAACAATCTCCTCCTCCAAGGTCCCACACACCGAACCGACTTTCTCCACTCGTCATTTTTCATTCAGTCAGTCTTACTGTGGAATGCGCTGCCCACGGATATCAGGACGGCCTCCAGTCGGCTATCCTTTAAATTTAAAGTCAATGAATATCTTCGGAACAAACTGACACAATCAAGTCTCAATTAACACCCTCCTCAGAAACTTTATATATATAATTATATAAAATATATAAACCCATTATATATTTATTTTTATATTATATTATATTTTATATTATATATTTACATATTATATTTATGTTTCATATTAGTATGTAGTATTGGTATGTAGTTTATGTACTAGGATACCTTTATACATATGTACGTACATTTATCACCCTCGTTTTTATTTATTTTTTTTCGATAGATGCAAACTTCTTTTAAAGCCTACTGTAACACTTCTCTGCATCACCTTATGGTTGGCTGGTAGAGAATGCCATTCGGCATTAAGTCCGCCATTGTATACAGTTGTACATAAAGTGTTAAATAAATAAATAAAAAAAAAAAAAGAGTTGTTTATAGTTGTTTTAATTTTTACGACAGTTTTCTCTATGATATGTTTTGTTTCTGTTCCTTTTTACTTATTTCTCAGTAAATATTATATATATATCTGCTTGAGTGAATGAATAACATTTATTAAATGATATAATATTTTATTACAATAGACACCATAAAGAGCCTAAAATCTCAGGTATCCAAAACCTTTCTTTAAGAACGTAGAGTATTAGATAATGTTGTCAAATTAAAGAGTACAACTAAGATGTAGCGCGACAACGAAAGTAACGTGTATTACGTTTAGTCGGTTAATAAATCGCCATTGACAGCTCTCTCGTCGTTTGCGCTCGCGTTCCTATTTTGTTCAATTTATCTTGTTTCTTTGTTTTGTTTTCGTTATTTAGTTATTTAAAATTAGGTTATTCATTGTTTGTAATTAATGTGTTCAAATATATTGAAGAAACTTGGCCTAAAGACACATATCCGTACAAGAAAGAAATCTGTACTTACATCAGATTAAGAATAGTTTCTATTTAAACATGATAATGAAATAAACCCATTTTCACAAAATTTTAACCGTTTGTGCTTGTACGTGTGTATGTGTGTGTGTGACAAATAAACGATTTTAAAGTGAATTTAGTTTAAATTAAAACACATGAAATATTTAAAGTAATAAAGGGTTAAGTATCTCTGTGTCACGTGGTTTTTTTGTTTACCTTTAGTTAATTACCTAAACAGTAGGACTATACACATCTAAATAGTAGTGTGTCGAGTGATCCCAACTACTACTGTCAAGCAAGAGGTCTCTACCAACTCAACTCAAAGTTGCTTTGATTATGCATCGAAAATATTGTGTTGTTGTGTTGTGGCTATCACCCCATTCCTACTCCTGCACTACAAGCCGGAGCCCCGGCAACCCGTGCTCGCCGTCCGCAGGCCCGTGCTTTTGGGTGGCCGGAGATCATCCTGCGATCCTCGACGCCCGGAATGTCTCTCGCGATGGCTGCAGCGTGAGAGGTTTCTTCCCTCACGCGCCCCGTCTCCTCCTTAGCTAGCATGACCACTTTGCAGAAAGAGAAGACGGCATCCCAGTCCCCCTCGCGAGAGGTCGCATTCGCCAATCACATTTCTGAGGACACGGCGGTGCTCAGCCCGCGCAGGGCACAGTGCTACCGTATGATCCACCGTGTCCTCCGGGCAGTCCTCCTCCAGTGATGACACCGGGCGTTTCCTCCCACCCGATCGGAAACTGAAACCTACCGAAACTTCCGTGTCTTTTTTTTTTTTTTTTTTTTT